AACAACCTTTACTTAGATTACAATAGTGTGTGGTACATGTAGGTGACAGCCCACTGTGTTCAGCACAGTACCCACACTAAAGAGTGGGATTTAAAGGATGGATTCCTGGACCAATATTTTCAGCCTGGCTGGTTTGTAGGGTTTACTCAGCCTTCCAAACTCACTCTTGCTGTGGAAGGGATCACCCTGCCAGAAATACCTTTGTGTACTGCTCTACCAGCTTGGTGAAGTAGTTGAAGAGGCTGTGCTGGGGGCGAAGGAAATCAAACTGGTAGTTCCTCTGCTCTTTCTGCATGAGCTGGGTGAGGAACTGCCTCCCATTGCGGGCCACAAACTGTGCTGTGAGCTTCACCACGTCCAGGTCAAAGGCTGAGATGGACGGAGGGTCCGCGATGAACTCGAACTCGGGCGGAGGCTCCTTTGGAACCACCGTCTCCTGGATCACCTGGGCCTGCACCTGCAGGGAGAACAGAGACAGCTCAGTGACCTCCTGTGAGGAACAGTCACCAACACTCAGGAGATTAAAAGCCATTTTTCCTCCAGGTGCTGTGGGACAGCAATGCCAGTTGCCATCCTGGCAGGTGCAGAGATGAGAAACCATCAGGTATAATTTAATACTGTTAAAAATGTTGCTTCAACAGCAAACAAATCTGGAAAGTATCTGRACCACCAACACCTCAGTGTGCCTCCTGGCCATGCCAAGCATGTGAAAGCCCTGGATTTACTCCATGCCCTTTTCCCACCCAGTACACACAAAGGCACAGCTGAACAAGATGAGCAGTGCTTTGTACTCCATGGTTTAAGGGGGAGTTGATCCTTCTGGAAGGAAAAGTTTTTACAAAACAGTGCATACAACAAGCCCAAAATAGACKTCAAGGCAAAAGGCCTAAACTCCTACAGTCCACAAGATCCCCAGTGTCAGTAGTGTCTCAGTCAACACACAGCAAAATGTAATTAAAACAGACCAATTAAGGTGAATATTGGCTCTTTCACACAACTTTGAGTTACCAGCACCTGGAAGATGCACATCTGCATCAAAACAAAACCCCACACTCAACTCCAAGCCTCAAGCTGTCATTTTACCAAATTGTATAACCAACTCCTTCTCCTTGACTTTCAAACTTCCTGCTCATCCCCAGCCTGCGACACCACTTCAAAGTAGCCAAATTCTTCCCCAAAATGATGAAAAGAACACTCACCTTCTGTGGAAGCTGCTGCTGGGCACTCTGCTGCTGCTGCATGACCTTGGGGATGGCAGCTGAGGGCTCCTGGGCCTTGCCCTCCTTGAACTCRCTGACCTTGTGCCGGTAGTAGGCATGGTAAGGATCATTGGGGTTCAAGAAGTTGAACTTGGGATTATTTATTTCATTCTGACGAATTCGGGCTTCAAATTCTGGACCATTTCTGGGGAGGAAAATAATAAATTTTTAGGGCACCAACTCAAGTGTAAATGTCTCTTTCAGACTAAGATGTCGAGGCACCAGCCACTCCTTTTTGCTTCCACATGGGAAATGTTTCTCTCTCAGTAGCTCACACCAAGCAGAAGACATACAAGTTACAGGCAGTAGCTCTCCTAATTTTGTCTTTAACATGAGTATTAAAAATTCACAATCACAAATGTTCCACAATTTCATCTCACTGAACACACAAGTCATTTCCACCACTGACTGCACAAAATTTACAAGTTATTTACTATGACAGTTTTATTTGCTCTATTAACAAGCTTTCAAGACTGATTTCACTTCCAGAATGGTCACACAAGGGAAAAATGCAGGTAACCATCAGCCTGTGCAGGGATTGACCACCYCAGAGTGCTGCATTTAGGAGCCCCAGTAGAGGTAACATCCACTCCTCCCACCCAAAGACGAGCCAGTTATTTCAGGGCACTTTGAGCAAACYTCCAGCAGCCACAGGATGTTTCCCTCCATATTCTCTGGATACCTCCAAGTGTCATTTAGACACTCCAAAAGAGGAGGTCTCTACAATCCCAAAGGATAAACACATTCCCTGCCTTATGCTCAGAGGCAGCCAACASTCCTTGGCAGCATTTTAGATATGAGTTACACAATAAGAGTTGGACTGGAGCAACATTTAGTAATGCTCTTAAACCAAAAATCACCACATTTTAGCACTGAAACACAGCCATCACTCCTGTACCAAGGCTCCCTTTGCACGTAGAATTTGGTTTCCCCTTCAGATCATTCAGAACAGGCCCTCTTACCCAGTTTTTGCAGACCCGCTGCACATTTGGATATGGACTTTATTTATTTACTACCAGTTTCTCTAGCAAAAAATATCTGATGCTCTCTTCAGCASAATATTGTTGTTCCTTTTCCAGTCTCACTGATTCAGCCTCAATCCTTAAAATCCTTCAAGCAAAACCAYGAACTGGAACCTGCTTCAGCTTCTGGAGTGGCACTGAAGAGCAGAAGCAGGAAAATCCCGAGAAAAAGAGACACCACCACTGTCATTTACCTGGCTACAAAGCTGGCAGTCTTGTCCACAATATTCCTGACCTCTGGAGGAGGGTAAATAATTCCCACCACGGGCTTGGCTGGTGCTGCTTCCTCTTTAGGCTCCTCTTCTGGCTGTAATAAAGATGATTTTATTACAAAAGGTGAAGAATTAGGCATTCCAAACAGCAGTCCCAACAGCACAGTTTTATCCATCCTCCTCCTCAGCCCCTCAATGACTGAATTCTTCCTGACACAAGATTGGACAACCTGAATCCCATTAATTCCTTAGTTTCTCAGGATGGGAAACAATGTTTGTCTGCCTGTCAGAGGCACCCACGACAGGGACAGGGGCAGCAGGACAAGTGAGGTGCCTCCATGGGAACCAAAACAATCCCTCAGAGTATTTCCACTATTTGAGCTTCAACCCCCACTATGTTTATAAATGCTGAGCCAAGAGGATCAGGACTAATACTACTCATTCCTAACCAGGTGCAGAAGTTTTGGATTTTCCTAGGAGCCTGTGGGACCTGAATTATTAACTTCACATTAAATAAAACACAGCTTTTAATCCCACTGTGGTTCCATCAGAATCTATTTTGTAGAGAAAAACTCCAACAGAACGTTTTTCTCACTGATATTACAGGAAGATCCTAACTAAAATCCCAGAATGCTCCCTGTGGATGGATTTGTTTTCCAGTAAAACCAGAAGCTGCTTTTGCAGGATACTAAAGATGTTGTTTTTCTTTCCTCATCAAGCACCTTCCAAAAAAAGGTGTTACGAACTGGGACAGGTCTACTGGAAATATTTACAATCCTGACAGGGACAGTCAGGGATAACTTAAAATCCCAGTAAAGCTCCCAGATCTGCCAAATCCATGGGGACTCCAAGCCAGAAATGTTCTGAAGTCAAATTAATCCCTGGAAGTGCCCAAGTCCAGGCTGGACAGGGTTTGGAGCACCCTGGAAGGTGTCCCTGCCATGGCAGGGAGTGGAATGAGAWGAGCTTTCAGTTCCTTTCCCACCCAAACCATTCCATGAAATACAGCCTGAATAATTAAGTGTGGTACGAGAAAGGCACCATTRATATTTTTAGCTTTTATTCCACTCCCACAGAACATCATTTGAGGAGCTGAAGGATGAGGCAACATCACACTTGAGATATTCRATTTAACAGTGATGGCAAAGTTGCCGTGGTAACATCTGTGCATGAAAGTCACTGTTTTTTTTTGGGGGAAATTGCAATTTTCCAAGGTTCTCAGTGGGATCAGTTCCCTGTCAGCTCCTTGAGTGCTGATGTTGCTGTGTGAGTCGGGACAGCAGCTCCAGCTCCACAGGAACTGAATTCCCATCTCAGAAAGGCTGCAAAGAACATGAATACGGCCAAGAAAGGATCTGGGAGGGTACTGGACTGCCACACTCCTTCAGACTTTCAATCCTTCCACATATAATTCCAAGAGCCAAGGCAGCTCCCACAGTTCCTGGCAACCCCTCACACCCATTGGAATCACAGCCTTGGGGCACTGCCAGGGAAGGGCCCAGTGCCCGCCCAGCTGCAGCAGGGTGGCRCTCTCTGGGARGGAACCCCAGAATGGTTTGGGTGGGAAGAGACCTTAAAGCTCATCCAGTGCCACCCCTGCCATGGACAGGGACACCTCCCACTGTCCCAGGCTGCTCCCAGCCCCAATGTCCAGCCTGGCCTTGGACACTGCCAGGGATCCAGGGGCAGCCACAGCTTCTCTGGGCACCCTGTGCCAGGGCCTCCCCACCCTCCCAGGGAACAATTCCTTCCCAATATCCCATCCATCCCTGCCCTCTGGCACTGGGAAGCCATTCCCTGTGTCCTGTCCCTCCATCCCTTGTCCCCAGTCCCTCTCCAGCTCTCCTGGAGCCCCTTTAGGCCCCAAAAGGGGCTCTGAGCTCTCCCTGGAKCCTTCTCCTCTCCAGGTGAGCACCCCCAGCTCTCCCAGCCTGGCTCCAGAGCAGAGGGGCTCCAGCCCTGGAGCAGCTCCGTGGCCTCCTCTGGACTCCTCCAGCAGCTCCAGATCTTTCCTGTGCTGGACCCCAGGGCTGGGGCAGCTCTGCAGGTGGGGTCTCACCTGAGCGGGCACAGGGATCAATGCCGCGCACCGGAAAGAGCCAGAGCCCCCAATCCCACCCCAGGCGGCTTCGTGAGGGCCACACACCCAAACACCCGCGGTTCGCGCCATTCCCCGCCCCCTCCCACCCCTCAGCGCCCCCCCTCCGACCCGCACCGGTTTGCTCTCAGCGGGGGGCGCGGGCTGCGCCGGAGGCACAGCCTGCACAGGTCCGGCGGGCATGGCGCTGCCGGGGACGGGGGCTCCGCGCCGAGCGGAGCCGATCGAGGGGCGGACGAGGCTCGGTCAGGGGCAGACGCGGCGCCGGCACCGACTGGGGCGAAATGGCGGCGGCGGGCGCTGTTCCGCGCGTGCGCGCCGGAAGTGACGCGAGGCCGACGGAGCGCGCATGCGCAGATTGCCGGGAAGTGGATGGACACAAGGCGGGATGTACCATTAGCGCCCCCCGCGGGGGGAGCTCCCCAAAGCAGGAACGCACCACTACAGCGCGGGAGGGTTGTGGTTGCCATGGCGACAGGGCTGGGACGCTGCGGCCTAGCGCSAGGCCCGCTCCCGGTGCCTCCTCCCCGCGGTCTCCGCTGATTCCTCCGGTTCCCCCCGGCTCTCTGCAGTCGCCAGCACTCCTGGAGACCGCCGGGCCTGGGGGGTACCGTGCCGGTCCCCTTCCAGCAACCTGTCTCGGCAGGGCGCTCTATCCATCCCAATCCTGGTGACCCCATTGGCCCCAGATTTTCCCAGGCCATTTTCCCCCCATTCGTCCCATCCCGCACCATGGCGCACCTCCTGGGCCACCGCGGCTGCATGGAGAGCCTGCGGGCCGACCTGCGGGACCTGCAGGCCGCTATCGCTGACGTGACCTCCCGGGCCGGCGCTGTGCGCTTCCCCTCCTGGAAGTTCCCCGACAAGGCGTCCTGCGACCTGGACATGTCGGTGCTGCTGCAGCGCTACAGGCACAGCGACAGCGAGCCCGAGTTCAGCCAGCACGCACATGTGGTGCTGCTGGAGCTGGTCATAGACAGGTGAGAGGCCCCAGGCACCCCCGAGTAGGTCCTGCCCCAGGGGGAACGGGATTTGTGTGTTTTGGGCACCTCAAAGTACAGAAGGGAGCTAAATCTGTTAGAGTGTCCAAAGAAGGCCTGAGAAGGAGGTGAAGGGCCTGGAGGGGAAGCTGAGGATGAGAGAACTTGGTCTGTTCAGCTGGAACAGAGGAGACTGAGGTCAGACCTCGCCAGGGACTGCAGCTCCTCCCGAAAGGCAGCTCCGATCTCTGTGAGCAGGAACAAGACCCAAGGGAATGGCTGGAGCTGTGCCAGGGAGGTTTATCAGGATATCAGGAAAAAGTTCCTCCCCYCGAGGGTGCTCAGGCACTGAACRGGTTCCCCRGGGAATCATCGCAGAATCAMAGAATCAGCTAAGTTGGAAAAGACCTTGGAGATCATCGAGTCCAACCTATTACCTAACACCACCTTATCAATTAAACCATGGCACCGAGTGCCACATCACAGCCCCAAGGCTGCCAGAGCTCCACAAGCATTTGGACAATGCTCTCAGGCCCAGATTGGGATTCTCAAGGTCTGTGCAAGGCCAGGAGTTGGACTGGATGATCTTTGTGGGTCCCTTCCAGCTCAGGTTATTCCATKGTTGTATGAAGTCTTTTGGATGCTTTTTCCCTGTGCATTTCCATGATGAGCAGTGCCAGCACCTCGTCCTCATGCCCCGCTGAGCTTTAAAACCCAACTGCTTTCCCTGCTTGGAGCTCAGCACAAGCTGGCCATGAAGAAGCAGAGCCAGACATGCTCCACCCAGGAGCTGAAGTGGAGCAGATGGGACAGGCTCATTAAACTGCCTCCCAAAATCTTGGAAACGCTCAGACTCAGCTGCATTGWCAGCCCTAGGAGGCCAAAGTCCCTTTTGCAGTCTGGGTGAAATAAATGTAGTTGTGATTTAAAAGACAAGCTGAGCTGTTGTCCCTAAAAAATCGGGGGTTTTGCTGCATGGGTGGCCCAAATCTTTGGGGGGAGCTTAACCACAGCCTCTTGGAAGTGGCTGCTCCATGGCACTAATGCCACTCTCCTGTGTGACACTGGCTTTGTCTGGGGGATGGGGAGGGGCCCATCCTCCCTTCCCCAGCCCCCATTCCCAATCCCCATTGCTCCAAGCTGTGTTTCCTGCTGGGACAGGCTGCTGCTGCTCCTGCAGAGCTTCACTGGATACGCAGAGACGGTGCTGAGCGGGCAGGTGGTGCCGCCAGCGCGGGCCCCGGGGCCCGGCATGTCCGCGGGGCTCACGGCCAGGACCTTCTGGAGCACCATGTTGAAACTGGGGGACTTGTGCCAGCAGCTCCGGGATGAGGTGAGACATTTGGGGACACCCCGTGAGCTGAGTCACTCCCCTCCCCCACCCAGCATTTGGATTGTGGTCCTTCTTGGACACTTTGTGGCCACGCCAGATGTGCTCCCACCTTTTGAGTGCTGGCTCCTGTGTCACACATCTGTCCCACATTGTCCCCTCCCAGCCGGAGTCCCTTCCCCCCACTGGATCCATCCTCCTCCAGGATCTCAGGATGAATGAGCTGGGCTGCCTCTAGGGCTTGGAAAATATTCTCAAACTGCCAAAATCCTGCAGCTCTGCTGACCCCACTGTGGCTCTGAGCTGCCTCAAGTAGTAGTAGTAAAAACAATCTGCCCCTCCCCTGSATTTTATTTTTCTCAAAATTATCTTTCTTATGGAGAAATCTCACAACCAGKAGGCAGTGCAGCGGGTGGGAAAGAAAGGATGGTCACGAGGAGGGGAACTGGGGAGCAGGTCCTGCTGCTGAGGCTTCCCCTTGGTTATTGTCCCTTGGCTTTGCTGCTGCTCTTATGGATCATTTCCAGTTTGATCTGGGCCTTGGTTTTGTTCTGTGCTCTCTCCCTCAGGAGAAGGATTGCAAGCAGGAGATGCCTCCACAGCAATCCACYCCACCCTCTGCTGTCCAGGCTGGGAAACCTGAGAAGGAGAATCCAAAATGCTGCTTGCCAGACGTTTTGGAGTCAGGAACTGCCCCAGAAGCTGCCCAGTCTAATTCTGTGTGCCCATGTCCGAGTGTCCATGTGCTGAGCAACTTGGGCAGCTCCCAGCCAAAGCCTGGCCCCAGCCTGGCCCAGAGCACCCGCAGTGTCCCCACACAGACCTCGGAGTCACCCCTGCGCTCCTGTGACACCTGCTCCAGTGCCCAGGCAAGCCTCCACGAGGTGGGCAGAGCCATCACCAGAATCTGCCAGAGCCAGAACATCCCCTCAGCTCTCAGCAAATTCCAGGAGGTGCTGCAGGACAGCACAGGGAAAAGGAGCCTCTCTGCAACAGACATGAGCTACTGGGCCTCGGAGCAGAGCAAGGACCTCTCCCGGATCAACAAACACCTGCAGGGGCTGCTGCAGCAGGTGAAGCCCGTGAAGGCTGAGCTGGAAGAGATGGGCAAACAGAAGGAGAAGCTGCAGAGGCAGGTGGAGGATTTTTCCAGGCTTCTGCAGGCAGAGAAGGATATCCAAGCAGAGCAGCAGAGGAAGGCTGAGCAGAGCCTGCAAGCCAAGGACAAGGAGCATTCCAAGGCTGTGGCCAGGCTGGAGCAGGATAAGGATGACCTACGGAGAGGTACAGAACTGTTCCCAGCAACCCTTCCCAAGCCTAGGGGGATTTGCAGGAGAGGAACAGACTCTATTGGGCAAACTTTGGCCCCACTACAACAAGCAGGGTTTTTGTCAGTGCGGGGGGACTTCCCCTGCTTTGAGGTTAATCMCAGGCAGTGGGAGTTGATTGTGTATCCTGTCACTGCCTCCTCCGTGGTAGCACAACACAGTCACTACATGAAAACACTTTGGTGTGGCTGTTTCCTGCCCCTTGGTTGAGTTTTTTTGAGGAGCTGATTAATTAGAGGGTTTTTGTGCTGTTTTAGGAGCTGCTCTGCTGGAGGAGCAACTCTCAGGCCTGAAAAAGGAGCTGGCAGCGAAGCAGGCAGCTGTGCAGGAGCTGGGTAAGGGGGTCACCCAGGGGCTCACCCAGTTCACCCATTTCTCCCGTCACTCTGGTCTCCCAAGTGTTTCACACCCCTGTAGCCCCCAGCACACCCCAGAYTGGGCTGTGGAGCTGGTGGGGATGGGCAGAGGATAGGCCTCTTTCACAGTAGCACCCCAATATCACCCAGTGCCAGAATGAACTGATGTTCATGGAGGTTTTGGAGGGTCACAGTTGTCCTGTCAGGCCTGCCCCCCTCTTACCAGGGTCTGTGGAGGGCATGGGGGACCCCTGAACCACAGAATCACAATATGTTTGGGTCAGAAGTGACCTTAAAGCCATTCCAACCCCTTCCACTGGACACCTTCTGCTGTCCCAGGGTGCTCCAAACCCTGTCCAGGCCTTGGACACTTCCAGGGATGGGGCAGCCACAGCTTCTCTGGGCACCTTTTGCCAGGGCCTCACCATCCTCACAGGGAGGAATTCCTTCCCAATATCCCATCTATCTCTGCCCTCTGGCAGCAGGAAACCATTCCTTTCCTTGTTATTCCATTCCTTTGTTCCAAGTACCTCTTCAGCTCTCTTGGAGCCCCTTTAGGCATTGGAAGCTCTAAGCTCTCCCTGGAGCCTTCTCCAGGCTGAGCACCCCCACCTTTCCTAGCCTTTCTTCATAGCAGAGGTGTTCCACCCCTCTCATCACCTCCATRGACCTTCAGCTTCTCCCCCCTGCCCAGTCTGGGCCACGATTGCTGTGTCTCCCCAGAGCTTTCCAAGACCACCTTGCTGGAGAAAATTAAGACCATGACGGTGGCCCAGAGCCAAGCGTTGGAGCTGGAGCAGAAGGTGCAGGTGCTCACAGACCAGAGGGACAGCCTGGACCAGGAGCTGAGTGCCACCAGTGTGCAGCTGGAGAAGGAGAAGGCCCGTGTGGAGAGCATGCTGCGGTACGAGGAGGTACGGCCGGCTCCGCAGCGGTGGGAGCGGGCGGAGCTGCTGCCCRCTGGCAGCAGGGAATGGTGCCACAGCCCCACACAGGCTCACCCCACTGCCACCACAGTCYCTGCAGGCCAAGCAGAAGACCTTGCTGCAGCAGCTGGACAGCTTGGACCAGCAGCGCGAGGAGCTGCAGGCCAGCCTGGGAGAGGCTGAGCAGGACAAGGCCCGGCTGGCAGAGCAGCTGGAGCAGAGCCAGAASCAGAGTGGGAAACAGATCCAGGCACAGCAGGTGAGCACTGGCACACAGGTGTGGGACACAGCCTGTACCACAGGGGTCGAGCCACACGCTGCCCTRTCCCTCACCCACAGCCAAAGTTTTCCCAGGAGAGGCACTGCCATATGGCCGTCTCCTGCCGGGACTCCCTGGGGAAAAGCCCTCTCCCTCCACCCTGTGTAGACAAGTCTGGTTGAATTGGCAGAGGGGAGCAGCAGGAAGGGATGTTTTGAGCTGCTTCCTCATCTCCAGTGCACCCCTTCCTGGACACCTGGACATGCTCCGTACTTGCTGGTTGGTGCTCCTGCTTCCAGCACACACAGCTGGAACCCTGCACGTTGTCACTGTCCACTTCCCACTGCCACAGGACACCCCTATCACAAGGGAAAGGTGGGAGCTTTCCATGGGGGCTGAATCCTCACTCCAGCAAACTTCACCTCCTCCCTGCTGTGCAYGCAGAAGCTGCTGGACACCCTGAAGCAGGAGAAGGTGGCACTGGAGCAATCCATTGTGGAGCTCCAGGCGAACACATCCCAGCTGGAGGAACAGGCACAGGAGCTGAAGGAGAGGGAAAGGCTCCTGGTGTTCTTCCCCGAGCTCCACATCCCCCCTGAGACACAGTTTGAGAGTAAGGGAGCAGATGGGAACAYGGTGGGTTTGTGCCTTGGGCTCTCCAGTGCTCCCAGGGCATCCTATTGGCCCCAGGCATTGTTTGTCCCACTGATATCCWGCAAGGGCTCAGACCCTGGGCTGTGCTAAGCTGTGACCATCCCAACGTACTTCCCTGCATGGGTGCTGTGCATCCCACACCTGGGCTGGGAAATGCATCAAGATCAGGACACGGCAGAGCTTCCTTTGCCCACAGGGTTTGGGGTCCCAGCTGCCACCTCTCGGGCTTTGCCAGTGCTCCCTGCCTGGGACAGGCTCCTTTCCTTGGGAGGCAAGAGGGCTGCCCACACTTCTGAGCAGGCAGGCAGCCACAGCAGGCTGAGCCCTGATAGATTTTGTTTGCAGGCAGTGGGAACTTGACAGAGGACATGGAGAGTCAGCTCCAGGCCAACAACATTCGGATCCAGGTGATGGTGCGGGAGAACGCGCGGCTCGAGGCTCTGCTCATCAAGGTGAAGGCAGCGACCGAGCAGGGCATGCTCAAGGTAAGCTGAGTGCAGCAGGGGGTGGGTGCTGTGTACCCCAAAACCACCCCATGGCCCCCAGACATCCTCTGGGGACCCCAGAAGGGCCAAGCCCGGGCTCCTTGTGCACCTGGGAGGTTGCCCTGGTTTAGCTGGTGTTGGCCGAGGTGCCCGGGGATGGCTCCAGCTCCTTTCCATTGCTGTGGCCATTGTGCCCCCAGCTCAGTGGTGGCCAAGGGCTGTGACTGGAGCTGAAGCTGATGGGGGGGAATTTCATCTTCACTTCCCTTCCCCAGCTCGTCCCACAGGTCCAGCTGGGGTCCCAGCTCCAGGGGGAAGCTGACAGGCAGGAGATTGGGTGAGTAGAAACCCAGAGGAAGGGGCTGGGGGGGTTTCCCTGCTCTTCCTCCCCTTTAACTGCCACCATCCCGCAGATGCCTGAGCTGTGGAGGCAGCAGGGACAGCACAGTGACGCCGGGATGCACTGACAAGGCCTGGCACGGAGCTCCCTGCAGCCAGCAACCTCAGCAACTCAAAGCAGAGCACACATTCCAGCCCAAACCCTGCCTCACACGCCCAGCRCGACGCCTGGCGCTTGGCCTCCGCCCACACCACACTAAGGCTCACCGCAAATAAACACTGAGCAGTCTTCATTTTCTAACAGAGAAATAAAGGGTTCCACCAGCAGYCACCTGCTCTGCCCAGGGGACCTCRTTACCAGCTCTTTGTGCATCAGGAAGGAGTGTTCCCTTGGGAAACCCAGTTCCTTGGAGAGCTGCTCCAGGGATGTTCCTGGGCCCTGGAGCTTAGTCACCCCTGGTTACACCACTGCTGGAGCCCCCAGCAGAGCCCTGACTGCGCTGATGCTGGGCACAGTGTGTGTTAGTTCCTGCCAGGAACCATTCCCAAGAGGGGACTGTGATGTGGCCACACTTGGAACAGGAAAGCAGAGCTGGCCTGGGATGAGAGCAGCCTGAGCTGTCCTCAGCCCACCAGCACAGCCACAAACTGGGAAGTCATTCCCTCTGCATGAGCCCCCAGAGGGGCTGGGAACCACCAAGTSCCTGGCCCTGACCTGCACCCTGCCTTACCAGCCCTGTGAGCTGCATGCAAGCCTCACATAAACCACACAGACAGTCCTTGCTCCATGTTTTAATAGGGATGGACACGTGCCATGCTGCAGCCCGTGGGGCAGGACCCAGGCAGGGCTCACAGTGTGTCCCCAGTCACCGTGCTGGGTGAGCCAAGCCCTGTGTTGGCTCTGCAGCTGACTCGTGCCATCCTTTCTAATAAGTTATTATAAATAAAGTGTCCGACCCCCTGCCCTCCCATAGTGAGGCCGTGGGTCACCCCGCAGCCCCAGCCCTGGCAGGGCTGTCACCCACCTCCCACAGGGGCTGGCACTGCTGCCGGGCTCTGACCACCCAGCCACAGCCACCAGCAAATAGACAAAAACCCAAGACTTAGAAAAATTGCTGTGAGCAGGGCAAGAGCATWGCGGGGCCAGGGCTCTCCCTGCCCCCAGCCCCTACCCTGTTACATCCCTGTTACACCCATGGGTGCCCCATATCTTCCCTCCCCAGCACTGCCCATCTGGACCCCCCACCCCTCTACTCACACCCGCAGGAGAGCCCTGAGTCCTTTCCTCTCCGATGTCCGGGCACTGTGCCGGGCACAGCCATGCCAACCCCGCTCCAGCAGCAAGCACCGCTCGCCAGGCACGCCCTGCCCCCCCTCCCTGTCCCCGGAGCGGCGGTGGGTCTGTCCCTGGAGTGTGTCCTCTGGCCAGCTAGCTGTCTGTGCAGCAGTTCCCTGAAAGGGAGGATGGAGAGCCTCAGCACAGGGAGCCTGGTGGGCCCCAGTCCTCCCCAGGGTCAGCTGGAGCTCAGCCCGGTGCCAGGGCGGTTCTCACCCAGGATGTTGCGYTTGCAGAGAGGGCAGGTCTGCTGCAGCAGGAGCCAGGGATCCACACAGTCCCGGTGGAACTCGTGGGAGCAGGGCAGCACCCGCAGCCACTGCCAGCAGAGAAGAGAGGACGTATCAGTAGAGCCAGGCGGCCGGGACACAGCCCGGGTCCTGGCCAGCAACAGCAGGCTCAGCCCAGGGTGGCACCTGCACGGGTGTCCCCAGGGCAGGCTCCAGTCCTCCCAGTCCCACCTGGCTCTTGTGGAACTGGTCCAGGCAGACAGCACAGCTATCGATCTCACAGGCCCGGCTCCGCGGTGGCTTCCCGGGATGGTAGCGCCGTGTTTTCAGGGTCGACAGCCGCCGCCGTATGTGCTGCTTCAGGTCCAGCTGCAGGGGCAGAGCCGAGGGTCAGAGCCCACTCCACAACCCCYGGCACGGAACAGCGGATGCAATCCCTCATTCCCACCTCGGCATCCCGCTCCGACAGGTCCTGCCGTGACTGGCGCTGGGCTTGCACCATCACACCGGTGCAGAGCAGCAGGGCGATCAGCAGGATGGTGTTCCACAGCTGCTGCAGGTACTTCTGTGGGGACAGCACCGTGGGGACAGCGTGGTGGGGACAGTGTGGTTGGGGACAGGAGCCGGAGACCTGGCCCCACTCCTGGCCCCACTCCCGGCCCCATCAAAACCCCATACCTGGACCTGTGAGCTGCTCTCCCCGGGGCAGATGACCCCCTGCCACTCGCCATAGAGGCCCCCTCGGGACAGGCCGCAGGTGGACCACAGCGTGAGCGTCACTCCCTGCAAGGCAGGACACGGCATTGCCGATGGCCGCAGCAGCGTCCGGCCAYGGAGCACATGTGACCCAGGCCGAGGAACACTGGTGCCACCAGSTGCCCTGCTCCCACGGGGACACCTGGGCTGGGCCCTGCCAGAGCTGCAGCTGCTTCCTGTGGGCCATGCCCTCCCTCCCACAGGGAGAATGAGGAAGAGGAAGAAAGGCCAGCATACCAGGTTCTCCAGCAGCACCGCCTGGTACGTGATCTTTGCTGTAGCCCGGAGCCCACTGTGAGCAAACAGGAAAGTATCAGTTCCAGGGACACAGAGATCTGGGCACAGCCCCCCCTGCCATGGAGCCCTGCTTCCCACAGGGATGGGCAGTGACTGGGGGAACCGGGGAAGGGACAGTGAGACACACCCTACCCAGCCATGCCCAGCCCACAGTGACCCCACACAGGGCTCTTCCTCCCAACCCCATTGTGTGACACCACAGCAGCAATCCCAATGTCCCACGTCAGGAAGAGTGAGAGGGTCCCATTGCTGCTGGTGTTGAGGACAAACACCCATGAGGCCATGGGGGATGCCAGTGCCATGCCAAGAATCAGTTGGTCTGGATCATTTGTACCGAGAGTCCTAAAGCTCTTGGCAGAGGCCACTGCCACCCTGGCCACCACATGRGAACCCATGGAAGGGCTGGATCTGAACCAGACCTCCCCTGGAAACACATCTCAGCCCCAGCTGGCCCCAGCACGGAACAACACCAGCCCAGCAAACATGATGGGATGGGTGAGATACCCCAGGGTGGTCCCTGGGTGTCACAGCTGGGTGGAGGACAAGGACAAGGCAGGGACCATGCCAGGACAAGGCAGGGATCAGGCAGGACAAGGCAGGGCCAGCCCTCCCACAGCCCAGCCCATACCGCAGGAGTGCTCCCAGCAGCCTGGTGACGTTGTCTGAGGACTGGATGATGATGACGGGCTTGGCGAGCAGCTGGGACACATCCAGCTGCAGCGGGAGGGAAGCRGAGCGGTCAGTGGGGCACGACCCCGGCCCGGCCCCGCCGCCAGCGCTGCCCTACCTCACGGATGGCGTTCTGGTTCAGCGCCAGGATGAGCAGGGCTGAGGCSCCCAGCACCAGGGCTCGCTTCATCTGCAGGGACACAGGGGACACGGTCAGGGGACAGTGGGGCTGTGTCCCCAACAAGCTCCTGTCCTGTTGCAGGGAGCACCCGGCACCTCTTTGCCATGGGGCAGGATCACAAGGGACCCAAGAGGGGTCAGAACGGCCAGAGACACCCTGGCCACCAAGCACAGACTTAGACCCGCCACAGATAGCCAGGAGACACCCCAGGTGACACCCCTGTGGGTTTGTGACCTGCAAACACCACAGCAGCCCCCAGGCCAAGCAGGGGACTGGGCCAGCAGAGGGGACAGCGTCAGGCAGAGGATCACCTTGGTGACAACGGCAGYGGTGAAGGATTCCTCCTTGGCACCCCGGGGGCCCTCGGCCGGCTCCTCAGTGCCCATGGGCACCACCCCGATCCAAGGGTCAGCAGCGCCCAGCTCCGGCTCCATGTCACCCACCTGGGGACACGGCAAGGAGAGGAGAGCTGGGACGGACCCCAAGGTTCAGGACACCCCCAAAGCACTCCCATGTACTCAGGGGTCYTGGAGAGCAGGACACTKTGTGGGGAYRGGGACAGCAGCTGGGGTGGCAYAGGGGWCAGARGCCTATTGCCCCTGTCCCTGCCTCYACCTCCCCTCTGCTGCTGGCTACCCCCGGGCAGCAGGACCTGGTCAGTCGCTCAGTGGCCCTGGCCTCCCCACCAACCCCCAGTGCCTCCCAGTGACTCCCAGTGCCCTCCAGTTTCCCTTGCTCCCCTGCTTCATTCCAATGCCCAAGGATTCACTCCTGAGCCCACCGGCTCACAGTGCCCACTGACCC